TTTTTTCCCCCTTTTTTTTTAATATATCTTTATTGATTTCAGAGAGGAAAGGAGAGGGAGAGAGAGAGAGAGACAGAAACATCCATGATGAGAGAGTCATTGATCGAGCCCGCACCCCGGGCCTGTGCCCCGACCGGGAATCGAACCCCGATCGCCCGGATCCCAGGTCGACGCTCCACCGCTGAGCTGCGCCCGGCCGGGCGATGCTTTGCTTTCTTAGGTGACCAGCAGGCTCCTGCGGCCACACGTCCCTGCTGCGCGCAGTAGGCTTGAACGTGCACTTGGCAGCGTTCTGACGTTTCCGTCGGGTGAGTGATGTCTCTCTCTGACCGTTGCTGCAGGGCACGGAGTGTGGGTGCGGAGGTATCAGGAGAAGAGAGCCCTGTTCGAAGTCCCCGAGCCTGACGGCAGCTCCCCGTCCCCGGTCACAGCCGCGGTTTACTCGTTTTTGACAATGATAATAGTCCTGCAGGTAACAGCACCGAGGACCGCGCGATCCTGGCTGGACTCTTCCGGCCGGAACTTAACTAGCGCCCCTTGCGTTCTGCCTGTCGATTCTGCGCTCGGAGGAAAGGCCGCAAATGTACCTTCCGAACGGTTGCACTTTGTGCGGAGACCTCCTTTATCCGGAGGGCGTGTTCTTGGGTGGTTTTTCGGGTTCAAATGCTCCTTCGCTCTTAGGATGCATAGACTTTCAGGGGCCGGCTTTTTTGTTCTGTTTTGTTTTAAATATGTTTTTATTGATTTTTAGAGAGAGGAAGGGATTGGGATAGAGGGTCTCTATTCCTCTATGAGAGAGAAACATCTTTGATCGGCTGCCTCCTGCAGGCCTCCAGCTGGGGATCGGGCCTGCAACCCGGGCCTGTGCCCTGAGCAGGAATCGAACTAGTTCCCGGGTCGACGGTCAACCGCTGAGCCACACCAGCTGGCAGGGGTTGGTTTCGACCATTTTTATTAATTTGCTTTTCCATTCCGTTACTTCTAAAATAAAGACCCTAAATTTTATTTCGCGATAATTTTTTTAAATTACAGTTTACGGTCGGAATTATTTTATATTAGTTGCGGGTGTACAGCACCGTGGTTAGATGACCATATACTTTATAAAGTGCCCCTCTCCCCCCAGGTGTTTCCAGCACCCACCTGGCACTGTGCGTAGTGACTACGCTATTATTGGCTATATTCCCCGTGCTATACTCCACAGCCCTACGGCTGTTCTGTAGCTGCCCATCTGGAATAATTTAAGGTTTACAGACAAGTTGCAAAAACTAGGACACAGAGTTCCCATGCGTCCCTCACCCCTTTCCCTAAGGTGAGTGTGTCACCGTAGTTCGTTGTGAAAACTGAGAGACCAGCCCGGCCGGGTGTGGCTCAGCGGTTGAGCATCGACCTGGGATCCAGGCGATCGGGGTTCGATTCCCGGTCAGGGCACAGGCCCGGTTGTGGGCTCGATCAATGACTCTCTCATCATTGATGTTTCTCTCTCTCTCTCTCCCTCTCCTTTCCTCTCTCTGAAATCAATAAAGCTATATTAAAAAACAAACAAACAACAACAAAAACACACAAAAAAACCTAAGAGACCAGCTCTGCTCCTTCGCCCTGGGCTGAGCTCCAGACCTCATGCAGAGTCCACTAGTTTCCCCCCATAATGTACTTTTTCTATCCAGGGCTCAATTCAGAAGGTCACATTGCATTTAGCGACATTATTTATTATTGTTAATATTATTACTACTGTTATTATTATTAATTCACATGCCTCCTCAGCGACTCCTAGTCCCTAACGGAGAATCTGTGCCCAAGTGAGGAGGGACAGGGGGTGTCACTGCCAGCCTCCCTGGGAACACACACCGACCACAGGACCTTGGCTCAGCCTTTGTCTTCTACCACATGTGCTCCATACACTGGGAAACAGCCTTATTTAACGCTCCAAGTTACAGGGATTGGCTTGGTACCCAGTGTGGACACGTACCTCCTAGTTGTTCTTATAAATACTTGGATGGAAAAAAAGAGATTGAAACTATCCTGATGACTCTGTGAGGTTTCGAATTACTCAAGGAATTTTTCATGTTATTCTTTCCTCCCTGTAACATGTCTTTCCAGTCTCACTGAGATGGAACTGACACGTGAGACTATTAATTTCAGGCGTGCGACGTGATCTGATATTTGCCTATATTGCGAAATGATCGCCGCAATAAGTTTAAGGCCCGTCGCTTCGCGTGGCTGTAATTTTTGTGTGTGTGGAGACCTTTCAAGATTTACTCTTAGCAAATTTCAAACGTACAGCCCGGTGTTCGTAACTAGAGTCACCGTGCCCTGCATCACCCCCAGGACTTGTGTATCTTAGAACGGGGGGGTTTGTACTTTTTGACCCCCTGCCTCTGGCAGCCACCAGTCTGGTCTTTGTTTCTCTATGTCGGTTTTTGATTCGATTCCACGTACAGGGGAGGTCACAGTTCTGCAGGTGACAGTGCTGGTCTCTCTCTGCCTGGCCTGTTTCACTTATTTCACTTTATAACTTGGTCTTTCTCTGCCTGACCTGTTTCACTTATTTCACTTTATAACTGCGAGTCCCGTTCGGGCCTCGAGCTGGTCCTGGGTGCGCTGCGCGGACATACTTACCCGACTAGGGGCCCAGGGCATCTGAATAGTGCTCTGAGCCCGCACACGTCCGTTCGGGGCTGTTACTCCACAAACAAAGAGAGGAAATTAAAACAAGGAGAAAATTAAACGTCGGTTATTTCGCGGAGGCTGCTCTTAGATCGGCAGGCGGAGCTGAGCGCTTTCCTGGAGCCTTCTGTCCTCCGAGACTGTGGGGTGTGTCCGCGGGTCGGGGGCCCGGGGCCGCCTGGGGGCCGAGGTGACTCTGCTTACGGGGACTCTGACTGAGCGTGTCTTTTGTTTTTTTTTTCTCTCTCTCTTTCCTCTCCTAGCCTCTCTCGAGCACCACTTAGTGCCTCGAAAATGCTTGCTTCTGCCCCAGCCGTGGCTACCATACTCCGGCCACCATAGCGGATGCCCGCCCGCTCTGCAGTGCCAATGGGCTGTCCTAGTTAAACCCTTTGCCAATGTCCTAATCCCCTCCCAATAGCGATCTAAGCCAGCCCTGTTAGCCCCTGAAGGTACAGTACAGCTCCTACTTACTCGTGGCCGCGTAGCCGTCCGCGCGAGTAGCTTAGCCGGCGCCCGCGCCCCGCGCCTCACGGCCGCGCGTTCGGCGCTGTGCGGTCTTGCAGGTCCTGATCCCCATCTCGCTGTACGTCTCCATCGAGATCGTGAAAGTGTGCCAGGTGTACTTCATCCACCAGGACCTGGACCTGCACGACCCGGAGACCGACTCCCAGCTGCAGTGCCGTGCCCTGAACATCACGGAGGACCTGGGCCAGATCCAGTACATCTTCTCCGATAAAACGGGCACTCTGACCGAGAATAAAATGGTCTTCCGGAGGTGCACCGTGTCGGGCATGGAGTATTCTCACGACGCGAATGGTGAGCCGGGCTGGGGGCGCCCGGGGTGGGCTGGACCGGGGAGCTGCTCTGGCCGAGGCCGCGCACGTGGGTACACGCACATGCACACGCACACGCACACTCACGCTTGTGTTCACACACACATGCCCTTCAGGGGTTGCTGATTTTATTAAAAATATGTTTTTTGCCTGGCCAGGCGTGGCTCAGCCGTTGAGCGTCGACCTGGGATCCAGGAGATCGGGGTTCGATTCCCGGTCACAGCACAGGCCCGGGTTGTGGGCTTGATCAATGACTCTCTCATCATTGATGTTTCTGTCTCTCTCTCCCTCTCCTTTCCTCTCTCTGAAACCAATAAAGATATAGTTAAAATATATATATATATGTATATTTAAATATGTAAAAATACATATTAATTAATATATAAAAATATATATTAAATATATAAAAATATATATTAATTAATATATAAAAACATATATTAAATACATAAAAGTATAAATTAATATATAAAAATATATATTGAATATGTAAAAATATATATTAATTAATATATAAAACATATATTAAATATATAAAAATATATATTAATTAATATATAAAAATATATTAAAACATATATAAATATATATATATATATATATATGTTTTTCCCAGCCGGGCATGGCTCAGCAGTTGAGGGTCGACTTAGGATCCAAGCGATCGGGGTTCGATTCCGGTCAGGGCACATGCCCGGGTGGGTTGTGGGCTGCAGCCGATCAATGACTCTCTCATCATTGATGTTTCTATCTCTCTCCCTCTCCCACTCTCTGAAATCAATGAAGATATATTTAAAAAGTATATATATATGTTTTTCCTGATTTTCAGAGAGAGAGAGAGAAACATTGATCAGCATCAATTGGCTGCCTCCTGCACCCTCCTACTGGGGATCGAGCCCACAACCCGGGCATGGGCCCCGACTGGAAATCGAACCCGTGACCTCTTGGCTCACGGGATCGATGCTCAACCACTGAGCCACACCAGCTGGGCAAGGGGTGGCTGATTTTTGAGGGGCCCTGGAAGGAAGCCGAGCACCGTTGATGGACAAGGGACTTCTGCGTTGTTGACACGGCCCCGCTCGCTGCGGCGTCCCCGTGCGCAGCGCATCTTTGCGGAACTCGCCGCGGAGACGCCTGGGGTCTTAGCCTCACCAGCGGGCGAAGGGATGTGTCCGGTGTCCCCCCCGTGGTCTTGTTATCAGCTGAACATTCTTGAGGGGCGTTGACCGACTTGTGCCGAGTCTGTCCCCGTGGAGCCCAGCGTCCTGGGAGCTGGGAAGAAATGAGTCGCCTCACTGTGGGTGTTTTGGACGGTCGCTCGCCCACTCGCCTCTCCTCCCTTGGCTGCCTCCGTTCCACCTGAAGGCACAGGGAGCACTTTGCTCGTTAGCGGAGGACGTGCCGGGAGCCAGGTGTCCGCCTGAGCCAGCAGGGGGCGCCCTAAGGGTCCCCGGGCCGCTGTTGTGTTTCTGGGCCCCGATGGTGCCTGCCCTGCAACCAGGACTCCCCTTCCTTCCTGTAACAGCGTCCGAGAGACCTGGCCACGGACACGGGAACCAACGCAGAACAGGGGACAGCATCGGAAGCTGTCCTGCAGGGGGACTTGGTGGGAATGGTCTGTTGGAAGCATGAGAGCTTTGTGAGTTTTATAAAACCAAGAATTATTATGACGTCCAGGAGCGTCCATCCTTTAAACCAAAGCCATCGTATCGCCGTGGCCAGCGTGGCCCGGTTGGAGCGTCGCCGTCAGAGCGGAGGTGGCAGGGGCTCTGTGGACTCACCCCCGTCTGCCCGTGACGTGCCCCTCGCGTCTCTCTCCCCACAGCTCGGCGGCTGGCCAGGTACCAGGAGGCGGACTCGGACTCGGAGGACGCGCTGCCCAGAGGGGGGTCTCCGTCCCGGCGCAGCAGCATCGGGAGCCACCAGAGCGTCCGAATGGTCCACAGGACCCAGAGCACCAAGTCCCACCGGCGCACAAGCAGCCGGGCCGAGGCCAAGTGGGCCAGCATGCTGTCCAAGCACACGGCCTTCAGCAGCCCCATGGTAAGTCCCCGAGGACAGTGCCCCCTGCCGGAGCGCGGCCACCTTCCCTTCTCTGTCCCTTCTGCCATCCGTCAGAAGCCTCTGGATTTTTTCATTGTCGTTAAATCGATGTGAGAGACACACACGGCGATTGGTTGCCTCCCGCACACGCCCTGACCGGGGCTGGGGATCGAACCTGCAACCCGGGTATGTGCCCTTGACTGGGAATCGAACCTGCGACCCTTCGGTGCCAAGGCTGATGCTCTAACCACTGAGCAACACCTGCCAGGGCCAGAAACCTCTGTATTTAATACAAACACGCCGTTGCTTGGCAGGTTGGCTCTGCTCAGTTAGCACAAGGTTTTCTGGCCAACACCTTCTCCCCACGGCTGGTGACACAGCCCCTCTGCCGCTGGGGTTCCGAGGCCAGGGGACCTCCGGTGAGCGGCCCAGATGGGTGAGGAGAGGAAGCCTGCCTTGCCAAATAAAACAAATATAAAACATAGAGCCAGATGACGACTGTGAAAAAGTGAAGCCAAATGGAAGAAAAAAAAAATAGTCTTCATTAGATGAGCTCAGATTCGGTCAAACGTTTCTCCCCGGCCTTGTCAGCTGCACACACATGTCCAGAAGGGAACTGAGTGAGTGACAGCTGCTAAAAGGTCCTTTCATGCTGAAAATGGTTTCAGAACAGAGAGGAGCCCTGACCTGTGTGGCTCGGGATTGAGCGCCATCCCGGGCACCGGGAGGTCGTGGGTTCGATTCCCGGTCCGGGCACATGCCTGGGCTGCAGGCTCGACCCCCAGTTGGGGGCGTGCAAGAGGCAGCTGATTGATGTTTCGCTCTCACACGTTTCTATCTCTCCCTCTCTCTCTAAAAATCAATAATTTAAAAAAAAAGAACAGAGAGGAAGAACCCATTTTGCTCACTCTGCGGCGGCCTCATTTTTTATACCCTCTGAGGCCCATTGAACTAGAGGTGACCTGGAACTGTGGTGGGTTTATATGGGGCACGTGGGAGGGGCCGTCACCCTTGGCAGGAGGAAGGGAGGTTGCACTGGACCAGTTTTCCGGACATTGATTTAGCAATACGGGTCAAGAGGATTTGAAACGTTGAGACTTTCTGACCCAGGGATTTAGTGATTCGAAGATTTACATGCACAGTAGTTTATCAGTGCATTCCTCCGCAAAACCTTGGGAAAAAATGTACCTAGTGATAAAGGGAGTGGTCGAATGAATTATGCTAAGTCCATTTATGAAGCTGTTCAAAGCTGTGTTTTCAAATACGGTCATCCCCCCCTTACCCATGGTTTCACTTTAAGTCAACTGTGGTCCGAAAGCGTTCAGTGGAAAATTCCAGAAATGAACAATTCGTAAGTTTTAAATGTTAAGCCTTCCTGGTAGAGTAATGGAATCTCACAGCGTCCCGCTCTATCCTGCTTGGTCCGGCCACTGTGAAAACAGTAAGGAGGTTCCTCAAAAAATTAAAAATAGAGCCCTGGCTGGGTGGCTCAGTTGGTGGGAGCATCCTGCTGTACCCCAAAAGGTGGTGGGTTTGATCCCCTGTGAGGCAACCAATCGATGTTTCTTTCTCTCCTTCCCTCCCTCTCTTTCTCTCTCTAAAATCAATAACTATATCCTCAGATAAATTTAAAATTATTTTAAATTTTAAAAAAATTAAAAATAAAACTACCATAAGACCTGGCAATCTCACTTCTGAGTCTATACCCAAAGGAAATGTATAAAAATATGTTGCTGATAGAAATGTAAATGTATAGAGAAAGCCTGGAAGAAAACACGAAGCACGTGTTTCAAAAAGTATATACAGGGTGGGGGCAAAAGTAGGCTTACAGTTGTTCATATGGAAAATAATACAATAACTAATAAATAAGATAAAAATACAATAATTAACACTGTGTTTCATGTACTCACAAGAGTAAACCTGGTTTTGCCCCACCCTGTATTACCATGAGGTGCTGCGATACAGATTTATAAGAATATATGCATTTGCCCGGCCGGCGTGGCTCAGCGGTTGAGCATCGACCTGGGATCCAGGAGATCGAGGTTCGATTCCGGGTCAGGGCACAGGCCCGGGGTGCAGGCTCCTCGATCCCCAGCAGGGGGCGAGCAGGAGGCAGCTGATCCATGACTCTCCTCATTGATGTTTCTCTCTCGCTCTCCCTCTCCCTTTCTGTCTCTGAAATCAATAAAGATATATATATGTTTTTTTAAAAAGAATATGTGCATTTAAAAAGTAATATATGCATTTAAAAAATAATATATGCATTTAAAAAATAACATGCATTTAAAAAATAATATATGCATTTAAAAAATAATATATGCATTTCATTTCATCTGTAAGGTTCGTATTCTTACACAATTAAAATGATGCATCATTATCATTGTTACAGTGTGACGTGTGTGTGTGAGATGAAGGTGTGTTTACAGCTTATAATAAAATCAAAGTGCCTTAAACAGCCAACCACTAAGACACTTAGTAGGTCCCTGGGTCGGACTCACCCCTCGGCCCCTGGCGTCTTCCAGGAGAAAGACATCACGCCCGACCCAAAGCTGCTTGAGAAGGTGAGCGAGTGTGACAGGCGCCTGGCCATCGCGAGGCACCAGGAGCACCCGCTGGCCCACCTGTCGCCAGAGCTGTCCGACGTGTTCGACTTCTTCATCGCGCTCACCATCTGCAACACGGTCGTGGTCACGTCCCCAGACCATCCACGACAAAAGGCAAGTGCCCCCCGCTCTGCCCCTGGAGAGTTCACGACGCCCCCGGTCCCCAGGCTGCAGCAGTTGGGTGCCAGGATCGGGGCCGAGCGGGAGAGGACAGACACCCTCTGAGCCTGGACAGGAGGGGCAGGGGCCCAAAGCCTCAGGCTCCTAGCTCCATACTGGACAGAGAGGACAGGACAGGCTGGGGACCGTGACTCTGGGACAAGCCACCTGGGCTAGGAGCCTGACTTCACCACCTGGCTGAACAGCTGGTCGTCTGTTTAGAAAGATTCTTTGGGGTTTGGGAACGTTATTTGCATATTTCAATTTTTACAGTCGTAAATTTAGAGAAACGTATAAACTGGCCTTTGGTTAAGTGGTTTTATCGTTGGTCGGAAAAGCTGGATTTTGTGGCAGGCGATGAGAAGCCAGCTCCTCTGACCCTTTTTTGCAAAGCTGTGGAACAGCGCAGGGAGGGGACAGTCCCTGAGCCTGCAGACACCACCAGCCACACCCTCCCCTGAGTCACCGGGGCCTCCGGGCCTCGGGTGCTGTGACCCTGGTGATCCCGTCCAGAAAGAATGCAGGTGGCACGGCCTTTGTTTAACTGCAGAGGCCCAAGGGTGGTCTCAAGAAAAAAAATGCTTCCCTGGCTAGTGTGGCTCAGTGGTTGAGCATCGACCTAGGATCCAGGAGATGACAGTTCGATTCCCGGTCAGGGCACAGGCCTGGGTTTTGGGCTCGATCCCCAGCAGGGGGTGTGCAGGGGGCAGCCGATCAGTGACTCTCATCATTGGTGTTTCTCTCCCTCCCTTCCTCTCTCTTAAATCAATAAAAATGTATTTTTTTAAAAAAAATCCTTAAAATATTAATTTAAAAAATAAGAAAGAAGAAAGATGCTGCCCTGGCCGGTGTGGCTCAGTTGAGCACCTATCTTCCTGTGCACCAGGGGTCAGCAGTGCGATTCCCCGTCAGGGCACATACCCAGCCAGGTTGTGGGCTCGATCCCAGTTGGGGTGCATGCAGGAGGCAGCAGATCAGTGTTTCTCTCTCACCCTCTCCCTTCCTCTCTCTCAGATCAGTAAAAAACATATTTTAAAAAGGTCAGAAAAGCCTCCAGATATCACGGTGGGGTATTCTTTTTAAAGAAAGAAAGACGGACGTGCTGGCCCTGGTTGCAAATTATATTGCACGCCCCGAATTTGGGATCCGGGGGCCACACCTCACCTGTCCCCTGGCTCCGTCCCGTGCAGGTGAGGGTGCGGTTCGAGCAGCTGAAGTCCCCGGTGAAGACCATAGAAGAGTTTCTGCGCAAGTTCTCGCCCAGCCGCCTGACCTCGGGCAGCAGCAGCACCGGGAGCCTGGCCGCCACCAAGTCCAGCCACAAGTCCGGGTCCGGCTTCCTGTCGGTCCTGTCCCCTGAGAGCGCGCTGCTCAGGCTGGAGGACAAG